CCTGAAATTTAATTAAAATAAAATCCAATTCACATTTTCAAATACAAAATGATATTAAAATCAAAAATTATAAACTCACTATTATATTGGATATTCCCCAAGCAAGGTACTGTTTCATAATATCCGAATGAAGGTTGTTTTGAGATGATATAAATGATTGAAGTGGTTCAACATATTCAGTAGATAAATATATTATAGTTTTAACCTGAAATAAATAAAATATCATAATATTAAAATATATATTTTTGATTAATTGTTTTAATTATTTTTTTATATAATTGTTTTTAGTGTTTGGAAATTTATTTTCGTTGAAGCCATATTAAATGAATAATTTTTTTTGTTTACTTCAGAGCTTTCCAAAAAACTGAGAATATTTGGATGTTTTAAAGTTTTTAAATGTTTCACAGCTGATTTAGCAAGTGCTGAACGGGTTTCACTTCCTGGAATGTCATCATTAATTAAAAATTCAAATATGGAAACTTCTTGTGCCGTGTTCTGTAAAAAAAAAATATGATGATTATTGTAAGTTATAAAACTTAAAATATAAGATGTTAAGTATAAATATGACTGATGGATAAATAAAATGTTTATAGTAAGTAGAAAAATAATTTATGAGTAAATTAAAAAGTTATTTTGATTTTGAATAGGTAATTATGTAAAATAATATTTCCGAATAATGTATGAAGGTACATGTTAATTGTTATGTTAGTTGACCATTGATAAATCACAAGCCACAGAATATAATAATAAACAATATAAGCAAGAAAAAGAATAAAACTTATAAATTATTAAATTAGTAAAAATGTTGAGACATGGGTCATGTTATATTATATTTGGCATAATGAAATAAGTATCAAATTATTTATAATAACATATTATAAGTACCTAACATTCTAAAAAAAAAAAAAATGACAAGATTGGTTAACTGTATTACTAAAAATGTGTTTTGAGTAATTTATGTAGCTAGGTAGGTATTATTATAATCTCAGGTACTTAATTAAACCGCGTAAACAAATATTTAAGTCAATAAACTAAGCAACTGAAAATCTCTTTCTGTATATAATTATGTAATATTATTAATGAAAGAAATTAATTATTAGGTAATTTAAATTTTTATAGGTAATTAAACATAGGTACCATTTTATTCAGAATATCTAATCATATTATTACTATGAAAAGAAATTTGAGAATATTCGTAAACTGACATATAATAATAATAATGACATAAAATACAATTAGGAAGTAAACAGATTTTTTTTATTCAACATTTTGACTAAAAATCATTGACTTGATTATTACCAGATTATACTATGATGGGCATTCAATTCAAATCTTATTTAATTGTAGGAAATCATTAATTCCAAATTTATTCAAAGATCATAAATATTTTGAATAAAATAGATATTCACAAATATTAATTGACCGATCAATCGATGATGATACATTATCGATATCTAAAATAGTCAGTGAATAATTAAACAAATGTTAATTTATTTTTAACAGTCATCAGAATTCACATTTTCTTCTTACTTTCTTTTTCCCCTTATTCAATTTCCATAGACTTTTTTCGTTGAACCCATACCTCGGGGATTCGCTGATCTCGTAGGGGAAGTCTTTGGATGAGTCTCTTGAGAATATAGTCCACATAGTAGTAAATTATAAGCGTATATTTTAGGAGATTTAAATGTAAATTGAAGTATTAAACATAACTATTAACTATATTGACTGTTATTATATTTTAGACTATAATATTGGAATGATAAGTGGGCTCGAATTTAAAATACTCATTCAGACGCGTTTGACGGATAGACGATTACAACTAAGAAGGTAATCCGTAGAAGGTACAGAAACGATTGACTACATCGAAACATGACGATCTACTATGTCAAACATTGAAATGAGGAGTAATAACTAATAACATTACAAGTTAACAACACTAGGTAAACAATACAATTATATTCTGATGATAATTGATTTTACAAAATAAATTTGTCAAAATTTAAGTGATAATAATATTATTCACGCAATGACATTCTGATGTTATTGATAATAATATTATATTATTTTGATAATACAGAATCATGCTTATCGCCGATAACAGGAAGTTTCCAGCAATTTAGAAATGTATATACTATATAGAATTTTAGATATATTAGATTTAATATTCAATAATGATTTATGATCCTATTGACATATACTCCTACGGATCAAGCCTTCAAGGACAGTACGGATAGTATTAAAAATTATACAAATGAATTTAATAAAATATAATATTATGAAGATTTATTATTTTTATTATTTTTTTCTAATTTATCTAATGGTTGTGCAATAAATGTATGAAGAAACATTTGTACAATAAGCCCAACATATTAATATTGTTGTGTATACTGTATACCGTAACCTAACCTGTCCGTGGTTTATATAAAGTACCAGCTAGAAATTTGCTTGGCTAAACGGGTATAAAAAAAAATACAGTGATGTTTTGAAATTGATATTATCATTTACATTATTCATGATCCGTGTGTAGGATAATGAGGAATAATTTTAAGCAAGCCTGGGCAAGTTAATGATAATTTTTAACTGAATTAAGTTAAGTTAATGGAAAACATTATAAAAAGTTTAAAGTTAATAGTTAATCTAATYCTTTTTTTAACTCAGTTAAGTTAAAAGTTATATGAACATTTTCAATTAACTTATTAACTTAAGTTAAGTTATTTTTTTTTTATATAATATCTATATAAATAATAAAAATCATAAATATTATTGACCACAGGAAATAGCCAATAGCTTTTCTATACATAGGTATTGAATTAATAGAATTATGTAGTAGGTATGAAAAAAATACAAAATTGAAAATGCCGAAACAAATACAATCTTTTGATTTATTAACACACTAATACAGACAACTGACAAGTATTATGCATTTTTTTTAAATTATTAAATAAAAATAACATGGTATTTAAGAATGTACTCTGAATACTTTTTCAGGAAACTAAAAGTCTAAAACTGTTTGAGAATATAGCCAACTATATACTTCATTATATTTATTATTTAATTATTTATAAATTAACTTAACTCGAATTTGATTAAAAGTAACTCGTTATTTATTAAGTTTATATCAATTAAAATAAGTTAAGTTAAAAATTAAGTTTATGAAAATTAAATTTTAAAAAGTGAAGTTAAAAGTTAAAATTAACTTAACTTTTAACTTTTTAACGCGTTTATGCCCAGGCTTGATTTTAAGTCGGTTTAGCCTAGTGAATTTCTAGAAGATGTTCCGGCCGGCATTGCCCGTTCCAAATTTTATTATTTTTAAATATATATTTTGTAAATAATATACCTATATATCATAGGTATATCTACTAATTAGTAATTTATAATAGTAATATGATATTCAATCAAACAATGACAATCTTCAATCAATATTATTTTTCTTGAGCTGAAAAAAATAGCAATTTATTAAAAGTAACAAACAAAATTTTTATATTTTATTGACTACAAAATTTAAGTCACAAGGGTTTTGACATTTTTAATTTGTAGTTTATTCAATACATATTTATTTTCCAGAGATTTCATTTATACTGATTAATAATTATAATATTGAAAAAAATTACTGTTTAAGTTGTTATAAAATATAGTTTTATAGTTGTCGACTGTCGTCACTTTTACAATTAAATAAACTTACAAGCTATCTATTATTTATAAATTTAAAGCAATTCAGCAATTATTGAATATTTGAGTAAACATATTCAAATTATTAAAAATACCGATTCGACGATTTACATTTTTCAAAATGTCCAAACGCCGATGAAAAAAAAAACTATGCAAAAAGACCCTTGATTAACAGATTTCGAAACTTAATATTATAAAATATTAAATAATAAAATATTCGATAGCATCGAACTAAAGAAAAGTAGCAACTGTCTATGCGACCCTGGTACTTCGACCCCATACTTCGATCGTATTACATGCGTTTTTTCTGATCACGGATTCACGGTCTTATACATAAGACCGTGTTTCTGATCAAAGCCGATCAACAATATTATTATTATTATTGTTGTTGTTGTTGTTCAATTTGATACGAGCATTTGATTGTAGCGGCATACTGAAGTGGCGGGCGTCGCTACTGCAGTCTACTCTAATGTACATAATATCCGCCTTTTCAATAATTTGTGGATTATGATTAATAAAATAAAGAAATAATAAATTTGAATGGACTATGTGCAAACTTGAATGCACTATATTGTCTATTGCGTTATTATTTTGAATAGTTTGATACGAAGTGTAATATTATAAATATTAAATTACAATGATTTATAATTCAGAGCGGAGCGAAGTATTTGTATTACAACGATGTGTGTTATTAATAATAAATTGATAATAACTTATTATCATCATTTTAATTTTAAATGCTTGCAAAAAATAGTTTTTTTTCGAAGTAAAAGCTGTGAAAAAACTGTAAAATTCTGTCTTAAAGCTCGGTTGACCAATGACCGGCGCATAGGCTACGACCATATACACTCCTATGGATGAACGGTTGTCGTAAGAATCCTATCTAAAAAGCTTTCAAATATCACAATGGCAGCGAAATTAAAATTACATTTTTCAATTTTTCATCCAATCACTCCATTCTCAAATCTTTTTTAAAATAAATTATAAAATTTAAAAATGTATATAAATAGTTAATACTGTTGTAATTTATGGCTGTGTTCCGTGAAAATCTTGTAAAATGTTTATTGTTCGTTATTCGAAAAGGGTAAAGGAAAAGAACCACTGGATAGTGGATACTGGATAGCAATTATTGAGTTTAGAATTACGGCGTACTGACGAGAGGCTGACGACTGACGAGCCGCCAAGAGAAAACGTCGTTGTTCGTCATCGGTGGCATAGTGTCGTTCATGGTTCATCGTACATGGTACATCACCTGTCGGAATTCCCTCATCGCTGTTATCACCACCGTTTCCTTATCTACAACGTATTACAACCAAAACAAACGGCCGCTTCGACGAACACAATTTACGATATATATTATTTAAATTATTTATCTGTTTTAATTTGATCTGCTTTATACAATGTTCGCGTCTAAATTGCAGACTCAAAACGAGAATAAAGTTAACTTTAAAACGAAAACCCACGCGGAACTACAAGAATTGTACGAAAGGCAACGCAAAATCCTCAGTAACGGGTGTGTGGTTTGTCTTAGAAGTATTGTTGAATTTACATTGTCACTAAAATATTCCATTTTTTTTCCTCTAGACGTTTCGTCGAGGGATTACCCGACAAAGGTGAAAAACTGAAACAGTTCATTGCTCAGCTTGACATTGAACTAAACAAACGCAATGTTCACAAGAAGCTGTGTGAAGATATGTTAGCGTTGAACATTGGCGGTGATCAGTTGGATACCCTTGAATGGACTGGCAAACATGTCTCGGCGGTAAATAAGAATAGCCAGCCAAATGTCATGGGTGATGAAGAAGAAGTATTGAGAATGTTTGTTTCACATTCTGGAGTTAATCAAGACAAAATAATCATAGAGTACCCATTTTATTTTTTAAATACTATTTTTCATATTGAGTATGTTTAAGTTGTTTAATTGTTTTTCAGGGAAAAACCAGAAAAAGCGTTGATCAAACCATCAGATTTAATCGAGGAAGATCTGATTGAAGGCAGACAGCAAGATTACGATTCCATAGGATTCTCGGAAAACATGGAACGTTATGCTAGAAATTTATGTGGTCGTATTGACACTCACTTGCCAAAAACAAAAAAGCATTTTTTATTAAATAAACCAGCTGTACCAAACAAACATAGTGCAGTTAAATCAGCAGATGTAAGCCTCAAGGAATCTGTGATGTTACAGGTTAATTACGAAAGTAAAATGAAGGTAAATTCAGTACCCTAATTAAGAATTTTGAGGCCTATTTGAAAGGACTCTTAATTGAGGTCACGTTTAATTTAAATTTGAATTTTTATATTCAATTAAAATATATATTTAAATAAACTGTAAGTTTGTGGTTCAATTTTTGTAATTAAGACTTACACCTTGTATTTATATATATGTATATATATATATATACATACCCATATTTATAATTGTATTTAACCACAAGTACATTTACTATATATTTATCAAAGAGAACAATATAAAAAAAAAAAATCATAATGAAAAAATGAAAAATTAAGAAGTACCTATCAAAGTAGTAGTATAATATCAAAATAATTAGGGCTCTTGGTTCGATTTAAATGAAATAATTTATGAAACGAGTAAAGATACATAATATGTAAATGCACTTAATTATAAACTAAAAAAATTCAAAGGTTATATAGTGCTCAAGGTATAATATAACAAAACATAAAAGAACTATTTATTCCAATTATTTACTAATAATATGTATTATTTAACAGCTGTCTGAAATAGCGAAATTTGGACTATTTGGGTTTGAATTAATGATGATTCTACTCTTTAGTCAAAAAACAACCATTTTTTATAAACTTATTCACATAGTTCAATTTAAAAAAAAATAATTAATTATTTTAAAATGTAATAAGTTTGAAATAATTAAAAGTATTATAAAATAACAAAATATAGCATATGAGCAATGCTAAAATAAGAAAATACATGCCCATATTATGAGTTATTAAAAAAGTCTAATTTTATAATTAAGGATAAATAATAAAATACAGTCAGTAAGAACTGATATTTATGTTATTTATATTTACTAGCTTATCTTGAGTATATGGTTGCTTGATAAAAATGTATATTCTTATACATTAACTTGAATGTTATAACTGACAATAAAACAAAAAAAGTAGATTAATAATTTTTTTTAGATTAAACAATCTAATATCCAATATTATTGACGATAATGCTAATTTTATAAGTTTTGTAAATGTTTTCTTTTACTAAAAAAATGAAAAGAGGCTAAAATAATTGTTATATACAATTTCCTACGTATTTTTTTTTTTAACCAAAGTTGAATACCATAAATTAAAAGCTCAATATAAATGAAACATATTTATTTTTTATTGTGAATCATTTCATTTTTTAAAGGAGCTCAATATTTTTGTATCCCAAGCCTTATCTAATTAATTTTTGACACTGATGAGGGTTTATTAATTTAGCTACTAGAAACATGTATGCATTGTATATTATAATTACTATATTTATGATGGTTCACATGAAATATGTATTAATTTATTAATTCAATAAAATTTAATAGACTAATCATGGACTACGAAAACTTATTTAAGGGATCATTACCTCACTATTCATTTTTTAAATGTTAGTTAATGTATTCAATAGGGTTTTGTTAGGAAATATGTACAATAATTATCTAAAAAGTAATTTGTTTGAAATTTGAATTATGTTTTTATTGTTAAGGAATTAAAAGCTGAACATTTGAAACAAAAGCCAATTCCAAAGTTTGATACAAGTAGTTATAGAAATACAAGTTTGTTCAACTATGACAATATTCTTGAAGACGACAGTGATGAAGAAAGTGACATACTCAGCAATGACAGTGATGCATAATTTAAGGTTTTGTTTTGAAACTACTGTTTTTAGTTCCTTGTAAATATTTAAAATGTAAAATTATGTATAAATTAAAATATTAGGTAGGTTCGTTATGGGTTTTGATTTAAACTAAGTATTTTATTTCTTAATAGCTTTGTGTAGATATGTTTTAAAAATGTTTCCTCTTTGACAAAATTATTTGATTGTTCGATAACTGTATATAATAGTGTATACCTAACTCATAATAAACAAATCGGGGATTCATTATTTGTTTGTTATAAAAGTATTTACCAAATATTATTATAATGAAAAATAAAAAAATGAGATTTTGTATTTTACGAATAGTATAGTAAATTAATAAATGTATGATTTATAATTATTTGTATTTAAAATAATTATCGCTTATAGTAATGTTATAATTTAAGTTAAAATTAAAACTTTTAAATTGTTCAAATTGATAATATACGTCAAGTAAAAGTGCCTACACTAGTACACCTTGTAAATGTTGAAAGTTAAGTATGTATTAGTTTAAGTTTTATAATAATAATAATAATTTTTATAATATAAAAATATATAAATAAAATAAATAAATGAATTATTTACTTATTTACTTTGTACTATAAAAAATTTAATAATAATGTATTAACTGGTATTAATTGAGTAGAATTTCAACTGTATGCTTGCATAGTTATAATAGTGTTAGGCAATCAAATTTTCATAATACAAATGGGCATAATTGAATGAGATCAATTTTGTATAGTTGACTTTATTGTAATTTTCAATAGTTAAATACATACATTTCAAATATATTTTGAATATATATAAAATAATCTTGTATGTTAAAAAAATCATAATAATAATAATAAAATAAATGTTGCAATTGTTCTATGTAAAGACAATCAAATGGAACATGAAATATATAATTAAATATACAATATTACAATGACAGTGTAAGTGTATAATATTACTTGAACATATATTGTTAAAGGACAGAGAATTTTGTTCTCGATAATTCTAAAGGTAGGTATAGTAATATAAAACTTTAAAATAACAACCAATATTATAATATAGTAAATCAAAATAAATTTTTTCAACGTACACATAAATGAGAACATAATTTTAAATTTATATTTTKTCTAAAATTATGTAGAACAATAAAACTGAACATCTATTCTATCAGGTAATAAAGTATAAAATACACTTTGTTTCCTTTCTAAAATTGTATTTGCATAACCCATACTATTGCCAGTATTCTTTTGTCCTCTTTTTACGTTGGCCACGTTTTACATGTGTATAGAATTAATGGTCTAACTAAAATCTTGTATAATCTCATTTTTGATTTTTTGATAATAACTTGGATCAGTTGGACCTGCTGGTTTTCTGTAACACGAAATAACACCTGTTTCCGGCTTTTCACTTAGGTTTATTTCCTCAAAGTAATTGTTGCAACTTTTTATATTCACTCCAAGATATTTGAAGCTTTCTACTTTTTTAAAACAATAATTTTCAATGCACAAATTTCTGTTTTGTTGTAGTTGATTAACTCTCTTAAAGTCTTAACTACCATATATTTAGTTATTCCTTCATTTATCATTAGCTCTATACTCAGCGCTCTGGATATCAGCTCATTCATGGTGGTTTTTATTTTATTTATAGTTTATAAATATTAAAAGTAAAATGCTAAAAAATTTAATATTGATTATACATTAGTACATTACATATATTTTTTGAAGAATTGTGGGCATCAGGAAAAAAAAATAACACCCTTTATACATTTTCATATTGAGAATTTACGTTTTTATTTAGAATGTATCAGCTATTGTTAAATTACGTTTTTAATTTTAATTTTTATACGTGGTTGTAACGACAGTGACAATTTCTGAAATGTCATGTATTACCTAATCATTTTGTAAAAAAAATAAATAGAATTCATCATTTCCAAAAAGTTTCAATTGATTAAAAAATAATTGTGATTTTTTTTCTTTTCCTAGCTTGGAATAAATGTATTCAATTTTACATTGACTTTCTATAACATTAATGATTTTGATATTATAAATTTGAAAGCCCAGAACAATAAATATTTACGGTCAAAACCAAATCTCGTATTTTAATCATGATATTTGTCCTCATAAGTCATAATATATTTTATTCATTCGTTGATGTTTATTTTTTACGAATCACTGACAGGGGCGGACTGGGAATAAAAATCGGCCCCGGGGAAACAAATAATTCGGCCCAAAATCTAGAAAATTTCTATTCTATTATTTTTTTTATTTTATTCAGTAAAGAAATGCAAATGATAAGTTAAATGTACACATAAAAAAGTATTTAAATGTTTATAACAATATAAAAACTACATAATTAGGTAGGTATTTAAAAATTTCTTTTTAAAAACTATAAATACTTAACTAAAGATGTACACATTTTTTATAATAAGAATTATAGTTATGAAAACTAATTGTCAAGAAAAAAAAATACATACATATTATATTATATTGAATACTCGTATAGTCGTACTTACCTATGTATATTACGTCGATTATT